CCAGGCTCAGAGGGAATGAGCACCCACCACTGGATGGTGACCATGCCAAACCAACCTTTGTTTGGCAACAAGCTGGGTTTGGAGCCAAATAAAGGAAAGGCAGGTAAGAAGCAGATCCTACAAGGTGGGATATGCTTTTTTGCCAGGGCAGTGTCCTCCCTTGCACAACCAGCTCAGCTGTAGAGCTCTGCCTCCCAGGGGAAGGTATCAGGACTTTCACACACACACCTGAGGGTTTTCATCATCCCTGCTGAGGAGGCTTAGCTATGGGTGCATGAGAAGCAGCTGTCATGCCTTAGAAAGGGTAATTAAATCATCAAAGACCCCCAAAGCCCCTGCAGACTAATTCCTGGGGCCTTCCACAGGAGGACTGCACAAGACCCACCGTGTTGCAACACTCATTCTAAAACTTCCATCAGGGGAGGTTCCTGGGCATTCCCGCCTGAACCTGAGCCCATATTAACACACTGAACTCTGGGATTTGTGGGCTTTCCCCACCCCCAACAGATCAAGACTGGGCCCATCACTTCGAACAACAGACATCTAAATTGCAACAATCAAGTCTTGTCCTGGATCCCCAGGTGCTGAGATCTTTCCACTCCCTACTCTTATCCCTTCTTTCTCTCTCTTATTTTCCTTATCTATTTTCTTAACTGATATCTTTGTACTTTTATATTGCTATATTTTTTATTAATGATAACCAAAATGGGTTCATATCCCCTTTCCATTGCAACCAAATTGTTTTAAAATAAATTTCTCATACATATACACATAAAAAACACCTGTCATTCCGTGTCCTTTCACTCTGATTGGCCCCAAGGGGCCTATGAACAATGGAGTAACCTCAGTTATCCCCCATTTTCAGCTCCCTCCCTCCCTCACTGGGCCCCAGGACTATCTGAGACCACTGGGCTCCTGGAACAGGGATGTGAGGGGGGCTCTGCCTCCCCTCCTTGGGGAAGGACTCTGGGGAGAGGGAGCACACCTCCGTGGAAAAGTGAGCTGTGGCTGCAGAGCTGGCTGACACCTCCAGGCAGGCAGTCCTCACCCCTGAGAGGCTCTGGGAGTTTGGATGATTCTTCTGGGCTTGCAGAATGGGTCCATGAAATCTCATCCAGCTTTTCCCCATCTCAGCCCTCCCTTCCTGCTCTCCTGCCTCATGTTTGTCTTTCCAGGGGTCCAGCATGCCAGGCTGGAGCTGTGCCTTGCTAGACAATCTGGTTTAGACCATTAGAGGAGTTTGGGGCTGTGGGGGATGCTTTCTGAAGGGAATGCAAGTCTCAAGAGAGCTACTCAGTGTATAAAATCCCCGGGGTGCTTTCCAGAATCCTATTCCCTGTCAGCATTGGTCTGAAAAACGAAAGGACGATGTTACAAGGAGGCAGAAATTGCATTATACTCCTCTGTGCTTCACAAGCTCCAAGTAACACTTCTGCTTCTCCAGTATGAAAGGAAAATGGGTAATGACAACCTACTTCTACTGAAGAGACAATTTTCACTCCTCCTTGGCAAGTGTAGCTGGGGCACTGTCTTTCTCTCCACTCAGAGGCAAATTAACAGATTTTGCCTCAGAACACAGTGGATGAAGTGCAGCACAGCTGGCAACACTCCCCTGCTGTGGTTCACAGCATCCTTGGGGTGCCCACACCTGGCCCAGCTCACGGTGGGTGGGTAGGTGGGTGAACACACAGGAGCTGTTATGGACAACCTGGGAAATACAGACCAAATTCCAGGGAAAACCCCCCTTTTCTTCCCAAACACAGGTCTGTGTGAGCATCTGTGCCCCACAGCACAGCAGCCAGCCCCAGCCAGCGCCTGCAGCTTTGCGCCAGCATCAGGAACTTTACTCTCTCTGAGCAATGACTCTGAGAAGAACAAGTTAGACAAATGAATTCGCTAATGACTTCCTTCCCTCCTACTTAAATAGGGGGATAATTCATGGTTCCTGCTCCCGCAGCGGGCTGCTCCATCGCCTGCCCATGGCAGGCAGCGCTGCTGAGGAGATCAGCGAGACAAAGGGGGCCAAGATTGCAGGGTAGCACCGCCCGCCTTTTCAAACACCACAAAAAACGCTGTGCTGGCTGCTTTAGGGAGGCGTAGAGTGAGTGCTGCACGTGTCGCTGAGCAGGTGACAGGCAGGGCTCTCCAGAGGGCAGCAAGGATGCACACACTCTGGCCAGGTATCTCCATCCCTGCGAGGTTTCCACTCCAAGAATCCCAAACTAGCCCTGAACGCAAATAATCGCCTGCATATAAAAGCTTTGCCTGCACACCTGCTTTGGCACTGTCAAAAACCTCAGCTCTCCTTTGTTTCTGGAAGCTTCTGGCTGGTGATGATACAATGTGGAATTGAGGCTAGAAGCTTGAGAAGAGGAAGAATGATGATGAGGGCATGGTGCCTTTCCATGCTTGCAGTCACTTGCCTGACCAAAGTGTATAGACTATAACATATTTATAGCAAAAAATTCAGAATCTCAGCCCACACTGCCAGGCCCCAGATCCCCAGCATGGTCCTCCCTGCAATCCCCCACCAGTTCCATGCATTTGGCACAAATGGGGAAATAATATTTTTTTAAGTGAGGCTGAGTTAAGAGGATTTGTTTGAGATACATGATAGCTCTCATTAACATTTGCTAGTTTGGGTTTATTTAAGCCTTAATTGTCTTTTAACTGCATTCCAGTATCTCTCTCAGCCTCTTAAGAGACAATCACATGCTCTTCCCTTCTTCTCTCTCAAAATCTTTCATGTTAGTGAGCTGGCTTTAGTGGCTGATAAAGTCCATGGGCTTGCAGTAAAGCTGAGCTTTCTTTTTCAAGTCCCAGCACATGCAGCCCCCAGGAAGGTGTGCCCAAGTGAACCCTGGCTTTTGTCACCTCTCTGTGCCAAAGATGCCTTAATCAGCAGCTGTGAGCATTGTGATCACGGGATTTTTGTAATGAACACCCTGGGGCTCGAGGCTCCTTCCCTGCCGGAGGCAGACTCGACAGAGCCACAGCCAGTTTGTAACTGGCCTCGTTCCAGGAGGTGAGGAGGGAACAGTCGGTTTCTGGCACCACCGAAGGTGGGATTCACCTGTGGCTGTGAGGAACTAAGCCCGAACCACCCGGACAAGGGAGGATCGTGATTAGTGAAAACCAAACACAGCTTGTCTATTAATTAGGTACTTTTGTAGCCTTGGTTCTGCCTGGGCTGGGATGGGAGACGTCTGTTCCTCAGGCAGCTGCCACCTCCCAGGATAAGCTGGTCCACAGTTCAGCCCCCGACGTTTCATCCTTCCCACACGAGGTTCCTTCTGACCAGGAGTCCAGCTCCGGGGAACGTGGGGGTTTGGATGCTGAACTACAGCACTTCCAGCAGCAGCTGGAGCCGATCCAGCAGGAGCACATGTGAGGAGCAGGGGCTGGCAAGGCGTCCAGTGGACAGCACTGACCTTCCATCCAGCTGCCCTGCTCACAGGACACTTCTTCTCTCTGAGGAATAAGTTTCTCTGGAGGCAGAAAAGAAACTCAGTGAGTCAGAAAGGCAGCAGAGAGACTCATCTCTACACAAGCCTTGATTTCTGCTGTGAGTGTTCAGAGCCGAGCAAGCCGTGGTCACTGTCGTGCCCCTTCCTTGCAGGCGATTTGTCCCTGCGAAGGGACATTCCGGCAGTGCTGGCTCTGTGCACCACGGTTCTGCTCCTCGCTTTTAGCTTGGAACAGCTTTGAAGAATCTATCCGCAAATACATACAAAAACTTATTTCATTGCAGCAGCTGAACAGAAAAGCAGCTCGGCTTTTGAGAGACACACTTTTCTTACAGTACACCAGGAATAATGTCTCTCCTTACTGGCAGCACCCCCGGAAAGAGAGAAAACGCATCAGGCTCTGATGAAACACCTCCCAAAATAACCAGCGCCTCTCTCCGCACGCTCCCCTTTGTGCTCGGCTGTCTTCGGGCGAGCACGGAGCACGAAAGGCACTTCCAGCCGAAGGGAATTCGGTGGTGGCTGCGTATCTCTGGGTGCGGGGGCCCGAGGCGGCGGTGGCGGATCCGCGCTCCCGCTGGCCCGACATTGTACCTGCGGGCCAGCTGTGCACATCGGGATGGAAACTCTCCCAGGGTTGGCTCGGGAGCAGGATGCCCGCTCCGGGAGCAGGATGCCCGCTCGGCCGGCTGGTGGAGCCCGCTGCAGAAGCAGCCGGGCCCGCTCAACCGGGCAGCGGGCCGGGGCTTCCCGGGGCTGCCGAACTGCGGGGGACCCCTCACCCTACCCTCAAAGCACGGATTGAACCCGCACTCCCCTGCTGCCCGCTGGGTGGAGACGGGCTGTACGGGACACCGCGGTCCCGGGGTGCGGAGCTGCTGGGCCAGTGCCCACCGGCGGAGAGGGGGCTTCGCTCCCCGGGACCGCCGGCGAGCGGCTGCTCGCGGGGTCCGGGGAAAGAAGCTCTCCAGCGGGGAAAACGGCTGCCGGAGTCGGCGTCCCGGAGAGGGACGGGCCGTTCACCCGCGGGGTCCCGGCACTGCCCGGCGATCCCCACGGAGATGGAGACGGACTCGCAACCGGGTCTGGGTGCGGGTGCCGAGCCGGGTCCACCCCCGCTCGGCCGCGGCGCGGAGGGGCCGCGCTCCGCCCCCGCCTCCGCCCCGCGCAACTTCCCCGCGCCGCGGCCCCCCGCCCCCGCCCCGCGGGTGCGCGCAGAGACGCGCGCGCGCCCAGCCCCGCCGCGCCGAGCCGAGCCGAGCCCCGGTGAACCGCACCGCACCGAGCCGAGCCGAGCCGCACCGAGACGCGCATGGGACGCGCAGCCTCCGCGGGCGCGCAGCTGCCCCGGCGGCGCTGAGGGGCCGGAGCACCGGAGCGCAGACCCCCGTCCTCGCCGCCGCCGCCGGGCATGCCCGCCCCGCCGGCCGCCGCCTGCCCCGCCGCTGAGCGCCGCCGCGGGCGCGGGGCGGCGCGCCCGGATGGAGCGCTGAGGCGCTGAGCCCCACCGGGCCGGGCCGGGCCGGGCCGAGACGTGACGATGTGGATGCGACGGCTCCCGGGAAGCAGGTAGGACCGGGGAGCGATGGCCCCGCGGGACAGCGCTTGGGGCATCCCGCCGCCGGGCGCGCTCGGGGAGCGGCGGAGTTAAACCATGAACTTGGAGTGGGGAGTGAGGACAGGGCTGGGGAGCGGAGCGGGGTGCGGGATGGGGAGCGGTGTGTGGAGCGGAGCGGGGAGCGCGCGGTGCAGCCGGCGGCTGCCGGCGCCCGGGGAGGCGACCGGTCCGCGCTCCGCCGGGCTCCCCCCACCCGGTTCCCTCCGCCCCGCTCGCCCGCCCTGCCCAGGAGATGGATCCGCGGTCAGCGTCCCTTCGCCGGCTGCTTGCTCCCTCCTGGCCGCCCTGGCGGGGGCCGCTCAGGGGAAGGGGCTGGGGGGGCGTCCGGGGCCCGGGCAGATGGATGGATAGATGGATGGATAGACGGATGGATGGATGGATGGATGGATGAATGGATGGACGGATAGATGGATGGATGTGTTTGGGAGATTAATCGAGAATTGCAAAGCAGAGGAGACGGAGGCAAAGTGTTACGTAACACATTTTCATTACCGCTGCGAAGTCATCTGAGCCGAAATCTTGTTATTTCCATGGTGCTGTGGCTGGAGAGCCCTGGCCCCTGCTTGTGTGCGGCCCCGGAGCCCCAGTAGTACCTGGGTTTTGGTGGCTTGAGCCCGTCTCAGTGGAATCGAGTGAAAGCAGCACAGGGTTAAACAAGTGAGACCCTAAGGAAAAGTGAAATCCAAGATCTATTTCGTCCTCCTCAACCCGGTTTTGTATTTGGAAAGTCCTGGGTTTGAGCAGCTGTGCTGGACAGGGGTCAAACCCCAAACGTCCTTCCACCGAGCGGGACGGTGGTTCCGGCACATCACCTGCTGCTGGGGAGAGGGGTCCCAAAGCGAGGAGTCTCGAGCTGCCACCCCACTCCCGCAGCTCGCAGCGGGCCCTGTGGCTGCTCCCCGGGGAGCAGCACTGGGTGGACAGGGGAGGTGCGGGGTGAGCGGATGGGTGGGTGGGTGTAGCCCCCACGCAGCACCTCGGGGAGCCCATCAGTCCGCGCCGCCCCCCGCGCCCCTGCGCTCTGGCAGAACATGGCTGCAGCTTGGGGGCACGGAGGGAGGCAGGCAGGGGCCCCCGAATCCACGGACAGCGAGTGGTGATGCCAGAAGCCTTTGTCCATCACCCGTGGGAATCGCTGGAGGCTTTGTCCCTCTGCCCGGGATATGGATGGAGTCCTGGAGGATGAAACCTGAACTGAGGTTTTGTCTGTGCTGAGCAGCTGGGGGAGGCCCTTGGCCTCTCTGTTACACTCCCGTGCCGAGCTGCATATTCCAGAGGCACGTGGCGAGCCGGCTTCCAGTGCCCCTAGTCTTTGTCCCGTGCCTCTGGCTGGTGCACCCCGACATCCCGGGCACACGAGCACCTTCACGCTACCGCTGGAGATATCTGTCCATCCGTCAGCCGAGGATGCGCTGCTGCGTGTGGGAAGGACAGAGTCTGTGGTGATGTAGTGACCTTAGGGATTCCTCCCGGCGAAAGCACCCGAGGGTTTTCTCAGGGTGCCACGCGTTTGGATTTATTTCGTGTCAGGTGAGAAGCCCAGTGGAGCTGGAGGGCCGTTTCCCAAGGCTGGCGCGGCAGAAGGCTGTAATCCTGGGAACAGAGGACGCCCTCTGCTTTGTTATTTTTGAGGAGAGTTTAGCAATGGAAACAGGAGCCCTCTCTGCTTGCTTCCCTCCTCGATTCATTCGCCTTGCGAATTTCTGTGCTGTGCATCCTGGATCCCCAGCACCAGGCTGTCCTTTCTGCCACCTCATCAGCTTCCAGTCCCTCCGTGTTTTATTTTTAATAAGAGATAACTTTACTGCTAACCTTGCCTGCCGCTCTCCCTTCTCTCTTACTCTAATTGCTTCTGGCTTTATTTCTGACATTTCCCATGTCATTTCTCCTCATTTTCTCTAAGACTACTAGAAAAATAGCTCCAGGAGAAGCAGTAGAGCTTTGCAGCGCCCGTTTCACCCCGCGCAGCCACTGCCTGGAGCGGCTGCCTGCGGCGGGGAGATGGTACCGTGCTGCTCCTTTCAAGTCGGATCCCTTTCGCCCGGGGCGGTGGCAGTGCCTGACCTGGCGGTGAGCTGTGCTCCTCCGCCGGGGAGGGCAGGACCTGTAAAACTGCATTGCTCAGAATTATTCGGTTCCTGTGAAGGGAAGCTGCCGCTCCCCGGTTCGGAGCGGGGCTGAGCGAGCAGCGCTGCCCTGAAAACCCCTGCGAGGTCCCAGGGATGCTCCAGCCCCGCTCTGCTCTTGGCAGGTGTGGGTGCTGCGGGGCAAAATCTGTTCTTTGGGGAGGTGGCAGTGGTTCTGTCAGTCCCTGAGTGTGCACAGACATACGTGTGCGTGCACACGCCTGCGTCAGCGCCTGCGACCGCCTGCGACCGCCTGCGAGGGCATGGCAGCTTTCTGCAGCGTGCCACGCTTCCAGCGCTGCCGAGGACTTCCCCTCCATAGCTACGAATATAATGTTTTAAACAATATGCCACAGTTTTTACAGCATTGAGCTCTGGAGTGATTTGCAGTAGGAGTAAAACCACCGTTTGCAATTTCTCGGCGATTGTATAAAACAACTCATTAAAAGCATACATCCCTGCACATTGGCTCCGTGGAAACTTTATGGGCCTTGTAGTTACTGCCAAAGCAAACATTTTCCATGAATTTCACTCATCAGGTTCACACTGTCAAGTGTAGATTCAGCCGCTCGTCAAAGATGCAAGCCTTGCAGTCTGGGAAGTAATGAGAGCAGTAAGCAGTGGGAGTTAATGGCCTCCACTGAGGAGTCCTTACTCATCCTGCATCCACACAGGGGCTGAGCTGGCTGCTCCCGGGTGGATTGATTGCCACAGAAATTCGTCTGGTGTCACTGGCTATGATACTTAACAGCCACAATAATGCTTGAATAAACTGCACTTTTATGCAGCGGTTCGTACCTCCGCGCTGGCAGCAATTTCCCAGATGAGGCGAGGGGAGCGGAGCAGGGCTCCGGCAGCCGCTTCCCAGAGCATGAATAATTGTTGTAATAACGCCGGAGCCACCGCCTTGTCGTCGTGGTGTCTCCAGTGGGAGTTGCCGTGGTGCTGCCACTTGTCCGGGATGCTTTGGGGCTGCCCCGTGTGGCAGCTGCTGTGCCAGCCTTCAGCAGGAGGGACACGGGATGGGCGAGCTGCCGGCCCAGCTGCTCCCAGGACCGCAGCACCACGGCTTGGCTCTGCCCTACGTAATGGTCATCTGCTGGGAAGGAGTTGCTAATGTTCCTTCAGAGCCCAGCCTGCAACAGGGAAGGGCAGCCAGGCAGAGGACAGCTCTCCAAACTTGTTCCCACCTTCCCCCACCCAATCTGATCCCCAGGCTCTCCCAGTGTGCCTTATTTACCTCGGTGTCTATAGGTATGTATGGATACAGGGCAGAGGTGAGTGCTGCAGGCAGCTCCCAAGGGCAACTCCATAGGGTGTGAATAAGACAAGGGACTTCCAGCAGGTCTGAGGTTCATTATGAAAATGTATGCATGCCTAAGCCTTTAAATATAGCTAATGGGAGAAGGACTGGGAGGAAAAAATTACCAAGATTTCCGGAACTTTGGTTTGCTGAGCAGGAGAAGCAGGATCTGCTCTGCTCTGGGTTGTGGTGCCTGTTGTTCTCCTTGAGGGCTGGTGGTGACCAAGTGGGCAAAAGCAGATCAAGCTCAACAGAGCTTGGGTTTGACAGCAACACTCTTCTAGCAGATTAATTCCTGGAGGCTGAGCATGTTGGGTGGGATCAGTGGATGGTGTGACACTGTTGGTGCTTTCACCCCCTCCTTTAAAACAAAGGAGTTTTACTTCTGTTCTTCCTTCCATCCTTCCTCCCTTCCATCTTCCTTCCCTCTCATGCTGGGTAGTGCTGCCTGGGAGGGGGTTCCTGGCCAAGGCCAGCATCCTAGCAGTCACTGTTGGTTACGTGGGGCTGTTCCCGAACCTGCTGCTTGCCTTGCTTGCCTTGGCTCACTGTTTTCATCCACGTGATTTTTTCACTAAAATAATGTTAAACTCTGGATGTGAAGTGACTCCTTAAAAATGGAATTTGAGTTGATATGAATATTTCCTGTGGCTCTTCTTACTGGGACTTGCACCTACAGACTTTGATAGCTTATATAATTTCCTGTGATGGAGATGTACTTCATCTAATTTCACTTGGAAATGCATTGATTAAATCAGAACTGCTGAGAGATTTAAACTGAGTCTCAGTGGCCTGAACTTAACCGTGGGAGGTTTACCTGCCTTCATCCTTCAACATTAATTTGGTTTTATGAGGATTCCTTGTGAAATGAGGTTTTGTCTGCTGCTGAATCTCTTCTGCTTTCTGGGTTTATCAGTTGCTTTCTCTGGCCTCGGCGGCTCTGCAAGGCAAAGCTGTGCTAAAGCCTCCATTCAGTGCAGTGCTAAGCTCCTTCACTGGGGACATGGTGGGGACTGATGGGTATTTTGGCTCCATCACACCCCAGTGCTCCTTAAACTCTGCCCAAGCTGGAGGCAAAGCGCCCACACTGCCTGTGGTGTGGTGGCAGGGAGGGGTGCTGTGTAGTGGGGTGCTCACATGGGGCCAGGAATGCTGGGTGTGATGCTCTGGGAGCAGGGTGGAGACCTGCCCCAAGTGCAGCTGTGTGGGAGTGTCCTCTCATCAGTGCTGACAGATTTGGCATTTATGGTCCCAAGCAACACTGAGAAAAGGAGGAGCAATCCAGCTTGGCTGGAGGTGGATGAGCAGCTCCATGGAGAGGAGCAGGGTGGGGTCAGCAGGTGCTGGGTGCCCCGGGGCAGGAGGCCAAAGCACCCACTGGGACTCGCCTGAGGACTTACAAAAATAAATAAAGCCAGTCATTCACAAAGTGCTCATTTCCAACTCCGATCTGCAAAATGTCTCCTTGTGACTTGGAAATGATGCGTAGGCAGGAGATACGCTTTGACATGCAATGATTTTT